TATTATGCCCTTTTTCAAAATCTTGATCTTATTTTTTTGGGTCTACTAAAATAGGTTTTTATGATATATTTTTTCAAAATGATATATTCTTATTCAAAATATTTTTTAATATTAATAGTAACACCCTATTTAGTTCCTCCCTCTATGAAGCCCGTCTTTAAGAAAAGTTCAATGTGCTCTGATTGGTTGGCTGGAACAGTGTGTTGTGACTGGCCAACTTCTTTGAGTGTATTTCAGAAAAATGACACCCTCTTACCACAACTGTAAGTTTCAACACACTACTAGTACTAACTCAACTAGGCCTTTTTTTGCATATGCCTTGGGCGGGAATTATTTAAATGAGGAATACTTTTATGTGTTCGTTCCTGGAAGAAAACCAAATGGTGTTTCAGGGAGTTACTAAACATTGTTTACTTTTATAGAGAATCTATACTTCATTTAGAATGGACTTTGTAAACTGTCAGACCTTGTTCACGCTCAAACAGCAACATTACATACAAAAGAAAGTTGAAAATGTAAAAAAAAAAAAAAATGTTGTTGAGCTCATATGCGGTTTATCTATCTGCACCTTCACACTTCTAACTTTCTCACGCTGATATTGTTTATGATATGAGGTTTGAATATGATGGTGAAGAAAAATGTATTACTATTTAATGCTATTTAGCAAAGATGTCACCAAATCATGAAATATTAAATAATAGATATTCAATGCTGTTCAAAGCATACCTGCTCAATGCTTGGTTTTTCAAAAGGTGGGCTTTCCAGAGCTTCCACCACTGGCCTTCCCATCTGCAGGATGCATTTCCGTAGCAACTAAGACATTTTCCACACAAAAAAAGATAGGTAGGTAGGTAAAATGGATTAATAGTAGCATTAATTTTTAATAAGCACGTTTTTATTCATCAAAGGATTCTGAAAAATGTATCACGGTTTGCATAAAAAAGTTCTAGCAACTATTTTCAACATTGATAAGAAATGTTTCTTGAGCACCAAATCAGTATATTAGAATGATTTCTGAAGGACCAAATTCAGCTTAGCAATCACAGGAATAAATTACATTTTGAAACATCTTAAGAAACACTTATTTTAAATTGTAATAATATTTCACAATATTACAGTTTTTTCCTAGATTTTTTGAACAAATAAATGAGGCTTCTTTTAACTTGTGTTAATTATATTCATTGTGATACATAAACAGATAAGTGTCACCATTTCATTCAGCGATCAATATTTTTAATATTTCCAAAACGGAATCATGCATGGTTGCACCACATGCGACAACCCAGAAAACTCACTTTGAAGAGAGAGAAGTAAACTTGTTTAGTGTCAGGATCCTCCTCTTTATGGACACATGTGTACAAATACTCTACATCCAGTACGATTCCAAGCAATCTATTCACCTCCTCCTCTGACACATTCTCCAGGTGTGTCACATGGTCACCTGGGCCAGAAACACAAATAAATGAGAGAAGCCTTACGAATGTGGCTAAAACATGGAACTGTTGACTAGAAGTAATTAACATTAAATATAACCTCTAAAAAAAATATTCAAATACGTAGTTTGTGTAAACTAAGCGGTGTAAAAACACACATTATAACACTAAAAATCAATTTTTCTATGGATGACAGAAAAGGGATTTTATCTTCCTGAACTCTACTGTTGTTTTCTATTATTACACAAGCAGTCGTTACCGAGGGCGTGGCTGCAGCTTCTGCACGGCTCCATTAAGTTAACAGCGATTGGCTGCTCAGCCCTGGGCGGGGTTGGAGGGGGAGGAGTGGGTGGTGGATTTTGACTCTTCCAGCCATTACATTTACAAGCTCCTTCAGCCTGTTGGGGTACAAAACAGATTAGTCAAAATATAGGACACTAAAATGACTACATTAAGAATAAGTTCACACTAATAAACCGTATAGCTACAACAACCTGTATTGGAAAAACTGCAGTGAAACCAACAGAATCTAGTAGGCTATATCTTTTTAAAAGAAAATTAATTCAAACTTGATTTTATTATGTTGTGCAGTAATCCAAAAACCTTAAAAGGATAGTTCAATTCTGTATTATTTACTTAACCTCAAGTTGTTCCAAAGCTGTAACAATGTCTTTGTTCTGCTGAACACAAAGGAAGATATTTTGAAAAATTTTGTGGGGCACCATCGACTTCCACAGTATTATTATTTTTCATACTATGGAAGTTAATGGCTTGTTTCCGCCACAGAATAAAATATAAAAATACTAATTGGGACTTTTTATCTTACAATTATACAGAATTGCGTGATATAATCTCGCAATTGCGAGAAAAAAGTCAGAGTTGCGTGACAAACTTAAAAAGTCAGTTATAAAGTCAGAATTTCATGATATAAGGTCGCAATTGTGTGTAATAAAGTCAAAATAAGAAGTCTTTCTCAGAATTGCAAGTTTATATTTGCAATTCTAACTTTATGACAATCTATAGTAACACTCACTTCATTCTGACTTCGCAATTGTACGCTTATATCTCGCAATTCTGAAGAAAAAAAAAGTCAGGGTTGTAAGATGTAAACAAGCAAAGGTGAGATAAAAAAAGTCGCAATTATCTTTTAAAATGCTTTGTTCTGTGGTGGAAACAAGCTTCCATACATGGTGCCTGTTTGGTTAGAAACATTCTTCAAAATATCTTCCTTTGGGTACAAGACATTTTTACAGATTTGACTTGAGGATAAACTGTCCCTTTAAAGCTCATCCTTAAATGCTGGCATTTTTAAGTCCATAGAGAATTCCAGATTTACAGGTTTTAGGAGTAATCTATGTTTATAATGCTGATGAGATTGTTTTTGTGGAGGGCGTAATTAATCAAAATTAAATCATCGCGTAAATGCTGGAACACCTCTAAAAAGTGATGCCCACTATTGTTGAGTGACATACCGACAACCGTAAACCTGCGTACGGATATGAAAGGACACATGCTGCTTGTGCTTAAAGCCGCACAAAATGAAAGTTGTGAATTTGCGATAGTCTTTTCTTCCAAAATATGACGTATATATCCAAGTGAAATGGGTTTTCGAAAAAGAAAAAAATGTGGGACAGGACTTGTCCATCAGGAATTGATTGGATTTCTAGAATGGTGCAGGTACCGTATGACATCACTTTGTAGGCCAGAAGCGAGTTAGCATTTTAGCACTTCTGGTTCCACCGTCCTGAAGTCAATGGATTTTTTGAATGGGGTTTTGGTTAAATGGGACTTCAGAGACTGTCTGGGACATTAAATATAATGCTGAACTGACAAACTAAGTCCTCTTTTACATCCTTGTTGTTATGCTTATAATTGTGCTCTTATAAACTATTCTAGATCAAATCTCTCTGGGAAAATGGGTTTTGTTGTGGGGTTTTTTGGAGTTGGCGAAAGCTTAGTGATGGTGACGTTGAAATCGAGGGACCGTGGTTTGACAAATGAAAGGCAAACTATAGTACTAAAATTAAATACAGACATTTATTGATTAGTCGGGTGATTTAATAATGAATTTAATAATTTTCATGTTTTTTTATTTATGTATTTATCTCTTTCACGCATAGCGATCACTACAGTGGACAGCTATTAAAAATCCATTTCCTTGTGTATGCCTGGGTTTTGATGGCATAGTTGCACATCAACCACTACATTGGACACTAGTGTATAATCCTATACACTGCCACCAAGTGGCAAGCCATTGGTTGTGGAATTCTTTTTCTCCAAACCAAGATGGCCGATGGCCAGTAAGAAATGTCAAGTTGCATTAGTCTTGAATATCCATTAATTCCTTCTATGAGACTCTATAAATTCCTTTTATGAGACTCTATAAATACATCAAGTAAAATCTAAGAAGCCATATCATTTTTACATTTTACAAGTACTGAATTTAGATTGGGAGGAAATTCTGATTAATCATCTGTCCACCTAATTGGACATCATGCATCACTATTGCAGCTACAATTATTACTGACTGAGACTGTTGTTCTTGAAAATACATCATCTGCAGTCCCTTCTTTTGGCTGTAATTAATGAATTCGTTTGATTAGATTATAATTTGCAGTTACATTAATAAAGTAATCTGATTACATTATGCATTTACTTGTAATCCATTACTTAAATCAAAAAAGTAATCTGATAATGCAATGCACATTATTTGTAATGTTTTACCCCAACATTGTTCATTTCAGATGAGGTTTTCTCTGAGAGAAGAGCTGAATCTGTCCATTTTGAACATAATCAGAATTATCAGCTAAAATCAGAAATGTCTGCGCAAATCAGGGGTGAGATTGGTGATGTCGGGATTGTGTTTGCTGGCGGTGGTGGGGTGGCTGCCAGACTCTGAGAGAGTGGTGTGTATATGGAATATCTGGAATAATTGGCTTTAACTCCTAAAATGCCCAGATGTTGTACTTGTCATCACTGTTATTGTCATTTATTTATTTTTTTTTTATTATTACTACTACTACCTTAAATTTTCTTGAGATCTATTTGTCACTCTATTTGTGCATTTATATACATTTTTTTCTCTTTCCATAACATTACCACAACAAAATGAACTGGAAAAACATAAATAATATCAATGATTACTATTACATTACATTAATGTTTTTCCCCATGCTTTTTTGTTTTGTAAGAGTCATGGATTCTCTCCTTTATATTAATTACCATGAATATAATGTTGTTATATTGTTTTGTGCCAAAAAACAAAACCACTGATGTGGACATCTGAAAATTTCTTTGTAAAATATGTGCAAAACAAAGTTCAAATCTTGTTTTTCATGCCCTAAAAGCAATAAAAACAAATACAGGAAAAAATCCTGACTGTGGTTATCATAATTCATGCATGAAAGGGTTAACGATTTATTTAAATATTTTAACATTTGTGTAAGTTGGCTCTCCATACTGTATGTTTTCTTTCTTGTGATCTGACAACAATGAACAGACAACGCCCCCCAGCAACAAACCCCGCCCCCGACAACAGACCACGCCCCTCCAGCAGCTGTCATCCTGTCAAAACAAAGACGCCGCTCTCGCCTCTTGAGTAATCAACTTCAGTTTGTCTCCTTTCTAGCAAAACTCTCGCACCAAAGCGTCATGAGCCTTCAGTTTGACTTGACAAAATACAATAAAAAACGACAATCACTGTTAAAAGAAAAAAAATAAAATAAAAGCAAATTGACTACCGGCCAAGAGCACCCAATGTTCACGTCATCTTGCTCACTATGCGCAAAGGCAGCGGTATTATCTCTGCAGATCGCGGAAATTAGTTCATTGATATATTTTTGTTGGGCACAAATGTAAGTGACCAGCGCACGAAAGCATACATTCGCAATTTAAAAGAATGGAGGACAAAGAGATGGCTTTTTGTGCTGTGCTTGCAAATTCAAGAGTGAGTAAAGTAAGGTAACAGCTTCACCTATCAGATAAACATATAAAAGGGAGTCTTTTACTTTGCACTGTAGACGTAAACAATGTTTTTTTTTTCCCGCCCTAACGTAGCTTACCTTGCACGAGGAGTAAACGCCGAGTTTTTCCAGTTTCTTCGGACGTGGGGAGGAGCGGAGCTGCGCCTTCTTAACAGCAATACGTGCAGAACCGACCGCAGCGCCCGAACACTCGGTTCCACCGACTCCCGGAGCAGCCGGAGCCGAGCCCGCCGCGCCCACCGCCGGGGAGCCTTGAGGAATCCCGGTGCTTTCCGACATCGAGTCTGGTTCCGCGCTCAGACTCAAATCCTCGAAGTCCGCCCGCTGTATTCGCTCTCTCTACCCCTCAACAGCGGGATCAGACATGGCGTTCATCCCTGCTTTTTTATTTGACATTGTAAATCCGTCTTGTCTCCGCTAGGGGAGGCACAAAATGAATCCCGTTATGATTCGGACTCTGAGAAGGATACAAATATATCATGATTTTGAGGGAACCGTTCAAGGTCAAATACATTAAAACCGTTAGACATGTTTTGTAGAGACATTATGGCTTCTTAAAGAACATGCTCGAGACTTACTTTTAAACAATCCTGCTAAAAAAAATAATAAAAATAAAAAATCTAAAACTAATCTCCTGACCTGAAAGTCACCAAAAACATAGAAAACTATAAAATATATATTTTTGTAATTTAAATAAAGCGGATAAAGCTATATATTTACACACATTTATATATATACATCTATATTTCTATTATTAAAAAGTTAATTTAGAACAAACAAAAATTTGACATGTTGCCATATAGCAACTAAGTTTAAGTACTAAAACTGAAATAAAAATGTAAAAGCTATATTTAAAAAAAAGCACATAAAATTACTGAAACTAAATTAAAATGAAGACTAAAAAATATATTAAGAAAATATTAATAAATACTGTAATAGAAGATAGATAAAACTAAAATAACAGATTTAAACACCTGTCGGCAAAAAATAACGAAAACGGGTGATCATTAAACAGACAGGTTTCACTATAAGGAAATCGGAAAATACACACTTTCTAAAATGAAGCTTATCCGCAATCAGTCATAGAATAAAATCAGTACTCAATCCTTTATAAGCAAACAAATAAGTGTTGTGACTCAAGGTATACAATTTACTTATTATGTGTCATTATCACAAACAAATGCTATTACAGAAGAATCTGCACTGGGATGAGAATTCCACTCAGTGATAAGACAAGAAGTTAATTTGGCCCTTTGAACACACAATATTATCAATACCATTTATAAGAAATTTATTTGATACATTAACAGTAATATTTAAGTAACTGCATTTTTAGTCTCAAAGGGGAAATGCTTTAAAAAATAAAAAAAAGACGAAAATTTAATGTAGCAGCGAATGTATGTGGTACCAGTATCCTGAAGGATAGAATATTGAGATCATGTTAAAAGTGTATGTTGTATGATACTGGGAAGAAAAGCAGAGGAAGAACCATCATAATCTGGTCATTTGGACACTGTTAGTGACAAAACGTTGTGAATGTCTTTGCTTTCTCATGAAAATTACAAAACAGACCACTAAAGAAAAGCTTCTTTTTTTGTTAATAACACTACATACATTTTTTATAAGACCACCATTGATTATAATTTAACCATTTTGTGAAAAAGAAACATAACTCCAACCCCCTATCAAAGCAATTCCTGGTTACTGTACAATCTTTTTTTTTTTTTTAATGATCATCTAACTCCCTATCAAGCATTAGTCCTGCAACAGTAAATGAAAAAGACGAATACATTGCAACACCCTATTTACAGTAAATTATTTATATATATTTATATCACTCTGGCTGTTCTTGCAAGAGATAATATCAAGACCAAAAATTAGTGCAAGGCATGGAGTAAGAAACACCTGGGTGAGTTAGAACCAGAAGAATGGGAGTATGTGTGAGCGGTGCACGTTTGTGAAGGGTAATTCACTTTACTTGTATGTAGACATGTTTTTTTGTTTTGTTTTTTTTTACTAAATGAATATCAGAACCTTGTGTAAGCCTTTCATGCTGAGTGAAAGCACAGCCAAATATTCACTCAGTTATAGGATATTGCCAATAATGCCAACGAAAAAAGTGAAGGGGTGCTAACTGGTGAGAGAATAACAGGGATCTTGGCTGTGTGTGTGGGGTTAAGAAGGAGGTGGGCTTGGCGGCACAGCCTCAGGAAGTGGGCAGTCTGCCACTGAACAGAGCCGCTGGGACATCCAGAATCAGAGCGAGAGGGAAAGAGCAGGGAAACGAGACGGGGTGGAGCAAATGGGCCGAGTCATTTGTCAAGTCCTCTCTCACCATGTGTGCCGTTGGATAAGGTTAAAACTTTGATTTACCTTTTTCAGGCTTTGTAGTGATACATGCATCCATTTTTCTGAAAAGTACATTTTTATAAAACAAAATCATAAAAAAAAAAAAAGAATGAAAACAGATTTGAGAAAAAGAAACGACGAAGCCGACTGTAGAGTTCTGAATTATGACAGAGCAAGCGAACCCTTGCAGAGGCCCCACCCCTTTTTTGTCCTGGTCAGGCAAATGACATTTTTTCTTTCTTTCTGATGAATATTTGTGACGGCATATATTACAGTTTGGAGACAAGGCATGACCTTAAGCATGAATACAGTAAGAAGCCTGGGTCTTTACAGAAAAACAACAAAACAAAACACCGCGGATATATGGGCGGGGCAGAGCTTTTGTTACAGCGTAAGAGAGTTGTGGAAATGGGGAAAGCAGAGGCATTTCATTAGTTAGTCAAAACCAAGTTGGAGGGCGGGACCTTGCGTTAGTTGTTGCGGTAACAGAGTTTTGTGTGGGTTTTTTTTTTTTTTTTTGCGTTAGTTGCTGCAGCAGGGGGCCTTGGTGGGTTGGGCAGTCTCTGTGAGGTCCACACCCCTACTTCGCCCACTGTTGGCTCCGGCAGCTTGGGGCTCGCTCTTAGGCAACTTTTTTGCTGAAGAGAGACAAAACAAGAAATGAACACTAGAATACTAAAATAGAAAAATATAATATTATCAATCATCAAATATGTAGTGTTTAAGAAATAAAAGATGAACCAATAGAATTCGCAATACCAATTATGTATATTCACTAGTGCTGTCAAGCGATTGAAATATTTAATCGCGATTAATCGCATTAATGTCATAAGCCATGTTTCCATTGACACTTTTTTATCCGAATTAAGTGATATCGAATGAAAAATGCCTTATGGAAACTAAAATTCGATGAAATTTCATGAAAATTGACTAAAATGAAATGCGTTCGGTCTCATCGGATTTTCTCTTGATCGATATACGGCTAATGCGATAAAAGCTGATGGAAACGTTATTTGCCGAATAAATAATGAATTGCGATTAAGTTTTATGCCCTTTTATGGTTGCAACACGCCAGAAGACGAGTTCATTTCCGGCCAGTCTGTTTGCGCACACATGGCGGATGTCAACAAAGACAGATGTAAGTGGACAAAGCAAAAAAAATGCTTCAACCAAAGGGTTTCCGTGAACCACGATCTCCCAGAACTGATGGAGCGCTCGTTCCCACACCATAGTCACCTTCGCTGTCGTCGGGCATTTACGTGCATCGGCACGTAATGCACATTATCATTATCGTTGTTTTCTTAGGTTAGTTTTGCTTGTTTTTACGTGGCTTGGTTGAGTTCTAATGTAGAATGTGGTCTGTTATTTCTGGTTAACAGACTGCGGCGTTGCTATAACACCGTTGCTATGGACGCAGTTCAGAGACGGAATTCACAGACTAACTATTTTCTTTAGCAGAAGCAATACTCGTTTTTAAATCAATAAAATAAATAAATAAATCAATTATTTGACACAAAATATTGACTCGTTTTTAAGTCAATATTTTGTGTCAAATAATTGATTTATTTATTTATTTGGTTGATTTATATGTAATAAGCAGGATAATATATAGCGAGGCGGTTGTTATAGCGAATACAACCGCTTCAACAACCGCCTCGCATACATTATCCCATACATATTTCGCTATCAACTGGCACATAATAAGCATTATTAGGCTTCAACTTTGTTGGTAGATGGCGCAATCCGTTTTGTCGAACAAAACTTTGTTCGCAAAAGTTTGCTTGAATGTTGTTCGATTCAGTGCGAAAATGAATGGAAACATCTTAAAATGTCTCAAATCAATTCGATATACCAATTTGATCGCAAAACAGCATGTGACGTCATTACGTACAGGTTTTTATTCGCTTTAAAGCCGTTTGATGGAAATAAATGCTTTATTTGCATGTTTTTTTTACCGAACTTTAGATAATTCGATTGACAAGTGGATGGAAACATGGCTATAGTTAACTCACAATTAATCGCACATTTTTATCTATTCTAAATGTCTCTTGATTTCTTTTTCTCACATTATTTTTTCTCATTTTAATGCTCTTATCAACATGGAAAAGTGTATCGGCTTGCTTTGTGCAAATGACATTTTTTATTGAAAACAACTGGCATATACCGTGTTCAATTTCACACTAACATTCTCACTTGGAGCAAATAATCTCTCAGTGTAACACTGTCCATCAATAAAAGGGTGAAAGAAATACTGACGAGGTCCTGATATTGACGAGGGGGTGGCGAATTTTCATCAGCTGTGTGTGTGTGAGTGCACACTTGGCAATCAAGTGGTATTTCAGACTGGACGTGCTGCGATGATGATAGCTCAGTTCACAACGACGAAACACACGGATCACTTTGGTCTTGTCAATGGAACCATTTGGCAACTTTTTAGTAAAGTAAAATTTCCATTCAGAATCTTACTGCCATCCATTTCAGCGTCTAACGCTCATCATCCACTCAAAACATAACATTAACCAACTATTTGGCCGGCTCGCAAGCCGAAACGAGTGTGTGCGGCGTGCCTGTTTTGTTTCCGGTCTAGCTAGATCCGCTTACGCTTTGGTCAACGAAGCAACAAAACGTCCTCGTGCGGTGCAAGCCATTGAAATTAAAGGGTTTCATAACGTAGCACCAGGCATGCCGCATCCTGTTGCAAAGCATGTGAAAAAAAAAAACTACAAAGTTTGCTAAGTAATAGAAGAATAATAACTTGCATTGTACCTATTTGATCACAGTCTCACATGATCACATGAAGCTTAATATTCTTGTGGAAAATTGTGAGTCATTTTATTTAGGACTCTTGATGAATAGAAAGTCAAAAAGAACGTTTATTTGAAAGAGGCAAACTTCTGTAATGTTATAAATGTAATTTTTGATCAATTTAATGACACCATATTAATTAATTAATAAAATATGTGTTCAATATTAATAGTTCTTGGCATCAAAGCATTAAAAAGAATACTACGTTGCATTTACTAGATCTCATTTATACATTAAAATCACCACTAATTTTCAATCAATCTGAATGGATTCAATCAGATTCTGAAAGTTCTATGAACCCTAAACTTTGCAATCAGATTTATTTTTTTCAATGTCATGTGCTGAAGTTCTGTTTGGAAAGAAAAAAATGTATGCAAACATCAGAAATCTTATTATAAAAAGGCTGTGGTAAACATTTGCGTCACAGCACTGCACATGTGCGCAAGGTATTATTGAATCCGGTTGAGAAGATTTTTAGTATTGACTGGATTGTTTCAGGTATACACCACCTCAATCTGATCAATTTAATTTGGATTGAGCTGAGCCTGAGTGGATCTATTGAGGTGTTTACAGGAAGCCTTTTCAATTCGATTGAGCCATTAATCCGATTACTAACAACTTATTTGAGTGCATGTAAATTTAGCAACTGCTAGGTTTTACTATGAGGTAAAACCCTACCAATGGCCATGAAGATCTCATTCACATTCATGGAAGTCTTTGCTGATGTCTCCATGAACAGCAAACTGTTGTCATCTGCGTAAGTTTGAGCATCCTAGAGAAATAAAGCAACTCGGGTGAGGGAGACATCTTTGATCGGATATAAAAACTCTCTCTGGTTGGTCTCATTGTGAAGCCATGTATACCTGGAAGTCCACAGCTCTCTTGTTGGCAAGGTCAGCTTTGTTCCCAGACAGTGCAATGACAATGTTTGGGCTGGCCTGCCTCTGAAGCTCCTTCACCCAGTTCTTTGCTCTTGCAAACGACTCCTTCATTGGTGCAAAAACAGAAACACAGAAGAGACAAAGAAATATGACAAAGTTGTTCATAAAACAACTATTCATTCATGAAGAGAACAACAAATCGACTCACCTCATTGGTGATGTCATAAACTACAATGGCAGCTTGGGCACCTCTGTAGTACATGGGGGCCAAACTGTGGTAGCGCTCTTGTCCGGCTGTGTCCCAAATCTCAAACTTTACCGTTGTGTCATCCAAGCACACCGTCTGCGTAAGGAAGGCCGCTGGAAGCAAAAGTAAAAGGTTGTTGAGAACGTGCAAGCAGGTACACACAAATTTAGACACGAAATCCCCTACCTCCAATTGTGCTTTCCTGAAACTCGTGAAACTGCCCCTTGACAAAGCGCAGTACGAGACTGGACTTTCCCACAGCTGACTCCCCTAGCAAGACCAGTTTAAACTGGCAGATCTTATTTCCCGCGTTGGACCCGTTGGGGCGTGTTGCTCCTCCCCTATTGGCCATGACAGTCGTCAATCACCCAGTCTCCTTTAGGCGGTCACACACACACCGAGAGCTGTCCCAGTACTGGCTGCACAGGGTAACATGTAATCAAAAAAAAAAAAAAGAGAAATGAAAGAGTGCACTTTCATGTTGACTGCAGACAAAGATCTTTTCTTTCTTCTCTATTCAGAGCTCTCTAACAGGGAATCGCTAATCTAGGCTTTAGTGATGGCGACTAGTAACTCAAATGCTATTTTGGGTTTTAGATGGGCAATTTTAGTCTAAAAAACTAATCTGTTTATTTCCCTTTTTACCTTACAGCTGAATATATGACACTGTGACAATTAATTACAATGATCCCAAACCAGTGACTAAAGATGCGATTTACTCAATTACTGTTTGCCTATATGACACAATTAAAGCAGCATTATGTTATTTTTGAAATTTTGCTTTCAGGGTCCCCCTACAGTTGGGAAAAAGTAGTCTTCTACTACTGTCATAAAATCTGCCATGGTTACACTAGGGAATACACGCGTGCATGTGTTGACAAGCGATACCCCTGAACTCGTGTATCCCACGTTTACAAGCCAGCGTCTTTATTGTAATGTTACCCTATTGGCTACTGTTTTACATAATGGATGCTAATTCAATTCAGTGTTTGTTGGTAGATATTAGCCATGTCATCAATATTATAATATCAAGCTACCATAGATGAATCTGCAAATTTGTAATCAGTATCATCTAGAGCTGGCGCGAGCTGCCCGCCCCGGCTCTACGGGGATGCTTGAGTGTCTTAAGCGCCCTCAAAAGAAAGCAATGCAGTCTACACTTGATGCAGCGAGGGGCACAACACAACAGTAAACTGCTCACCCGCGTGCTTTTTTTCTGATGCACTTCACATTTGGTTTTACTTGCTGCTTCAGCCATGACAACATACAGAGGTAAAAGAAAAAAGAAAAACGCTCGTTGGGCTCTCATGTCGGAATTTGAGGAAGTGACGCAGTTGTATTTTGTAGTTCTCTTTGTGCTCGGGTTCCTACCCGCACCTCGAAGTTACAGAGTGCCAGTAAAAGCGATACAGACCACGTCAGGCTATGGCAGACCTGTCATTCAACCTATTGTAAGTCGATGTACCATCTCAAGGGTTTTGGAAAAATATTATAAAGGTTGAAAAAACTACATAGTGCTGCTTTAATAATAAATTATATGTATAAGTACATTATATCAAAATATTCAGGGGTTCCCCTTCCCAGACTTCTTAATTTTTTTTTAATATGATTTAGATTAAGACTAATTTGTGGAACAGTTTGATCAATTCTTTACATTAAATATTTTAAAGCATTTATTACTTTTTATCTATATGACAATGCATCATAGTTACCACAAAAATATTACGCTGTACAAAACTGTTTTCAACACTGATAGTAAGATAATAATAATGTTTCTTAAGCTTTAAATCAGCATATTAGAATGATTCTGAAGGATCATGTGACACTATAGACTGAGTAATGATGCTGAGGATTCAGCTTTACCATCCAAGGAATGAATTTATTTTTAAAATATATTTTGATCAAATACTGGCAGCCTTGGTGAGCATAAGAGACTTATTTCCAACTCCGAACACACACATACACACATTACAAAGAGTAAGGGAACTCCAAAAATTGCTAGAATTTGCTACAGATTGTAATCATGCATTAAAAACACGGAAAACAGTTGTTTTATTAACCATAATTTAACAATGTTGATATCCTTGCAGAAATAAATGTCTGTAGCCATGGTAACCAATTCTAGCACAGAATGTCTTGAGTAAGCAGTCAAAACAAGCATTCCCATTTAGCACGAAAAAAACAGCCTGAAGCAACAATTCAACGGCAATTCAAAGAAGTATCTCAGCCTTCAGAATGACTAGACAGACCTGCGATAGATACAATACCAGACGCCACCAACTCAAATGACAGTAATAAAACTCAAGGAATATCATAGACATTTACTGTGTCAGCGACCTCAAGGCAAGGAAAACACTTTTCCTGTCAAAATTGTACAGTTGCTGCTGTTATGAAATAGGATAAGATAAAAACAGACCCCTGATGCTCCTGTGACATTGCATCATCGTAAGCTGATCTTTCTATAAGAGAAACCAAGATCTTCTTTGACGCTCACTTCAAATCAACAACAGGAACTCTATCTGCATAACAGGATATAATTCAACTCCTTGAGAAGAAAGTCTGGTGGTATGTCAAACCATGCCAGAACTGCTGTCTTCATCCATTTGGTTTGCATAACAGCTGATATGGGAACAAAATATGTCTTTTTATACTTTCCTAGAGTGCAATGTCATGGCTTATATGTAATATTCAAAAGCAAAATAAAAAAAGTGCAGCTAATGAAACAAATCATGACATTCCAAAAGTCAGATCACCTGTGAGAGGTTTTAGTCAAGTGCTGGTGGTCAGAATGTGGACCGTTTTAATGACAGGCCTAACAAAAACAAACCTGTGATTTCTGAGTTGAAAGTTGACACAGTCATCCTGTACATGATTCATGTACCCAAAATAAACCTGTATTTTCAACATCACACTACTTCAATAAACCCAACCTACACAATTCCCCTATTTTTCAACACACCCCTGCGCCTAAAACCAAGGAACAAACTGTCTTGTTACTTGGAAAGACAGCCCATATCAGGTCAGATGCCAAGTCTAATAAACCACAGTGATCGCCCATATACCTATGGGAATAAGATAATGACAACATAATAATAAGCTGCTGATAAGCAACTTCACTTTCACTCCAGCATTCCCACCCTGTGCTGCACTCAAACTGCATTCCGACATAACTCAGCTAGCTAAACATACCACGACGGGATGGATATATATTCACGATTTTAAAAAACAAGATCATATATAATGTACATATGAGGCTAAAGAGATCAGATTTGATGACTTGTGAAGGCAGAATTAGGGCAAGGGGCCTGTAACATTGTTGACGATATCTAACAAGCTAAAGTGGCTAACGTTAACTAGCTTGAGGGATACGCCAAACCAGAAAACGGTACATTCAACGGAGGTATTCGGTGTCTTTTTACCTGAAAGTCAGCCGGCAGGTTGCTTGAACTGATTTCCGACGACGGGGTGCTAAAATTTTTGAGAGGTTTTCCTTATTGTTGGGGTCGGTTAGTGGGAATTTTACCAACCCCGATCAAGTCTCCTCCTTTCTTTTCTCTCGCAACTTCCCCTTTAGAACCAAAACACAAACAAGCGTTTCCGCCCCTCATGCCACGTCAGATGATACTTCCGCCCTGCAATGATGCACTTCCATCATATGATCATAATACGTCCACCACGGTCAAATTGCGTCTGGCTGCTGACTTACCAGCACCATATCTATATAAAGGCTAGATATCTCGTCCACGCTGCTGGCCAATGGAGGTCGACGTCTGCACCTGGCGGCCATCTTGTCACAGGCAGCTCGTTCACTCGTAACATAGTGTTAATGGTACATGTACTATTTAAATAACCATAACTTGATCAATTTTCTACCGATTTTCAAACGGGTTGGTTTGTTATAAACGTCAGAGATGTAGTTATGACACAGCACACTTATGAATAATAAGTGTATAAATAAATAATCATCCAGATAATTATAGCCACGTTAATAACGTTTGAACCAAACCGTTTGTAAATCTGTCAAGATTTCAACGAGATAAGAGCATTTGTGTTCGTGCTGACCACTCATCTTACGTCAGCTTACCTGTGACAAGATGGCTGCTGGTGATGACGATAGAAACTCTTCCTTAAGACATCTAGCCTTTATATAGATATCTTAGCACTTGCTCTAACTCTCATATGCCCTGTTCAAACCCATAGACAGTAAAAGAAACGGACAGAGCTATCTCATTGGAACTCCATTATACATTGTCGTGTTTCTTTAGAAATAAATAAAGGACAAATGGGGTCTTCAAACGCCTCAGATGTAAAGTTATTCGCTGTCAAAGTGACGCCAAAATGAATGGGAGTCAATGGGAATGCTAACACAAGTGAAGTTCTGCTACAAGATGGCAGCTCCCGTGAGGCTTCAACTTCCGGTCGATGGATTACCCCCTTGTCCAAAACTCACTATTTAAAATTGTAGTGCTTCTAATTCAGTGATAAAAAGCAGTTGCAAATGTTTTACTTTGTACATTTTGCACCAACAAAATGTGCAACAATATTTGTTTTACTACCAAATTATATGTAACATATAATTAATTTTAAAAGGGTTAGTTCACCCAAAAATGAAAAGTGTGTTTTTACTCACACATGTTGTTCCAAACCCATAAGACTTTTGTTCATCACCGGAACACAAATTAAGATATTTTTGATGAAATTTAATGATTAGCCGGCTCACTCCTTCATAGGCTGCAAGGTAATTTCATCTCCCAGAACAGCTACATCGTTAACAACATCAATAATAACCATTGTTAAAATAGTCCAAGTCTATGGCATTTGGTTCCGTTGCTAGGCTCTAAGAGCCTGGATGAGTTCCTGGCATGCATTCAGAGACTCAGAATGAGACTGATGACTTTCAGCTTCTCCATCTCCCATGTGGCCAGCAAGAAGTTGGCCACGGCAGACGTTGTGTCAAGGGCACTGTTGAGAGACAGAGGGCAGCCGGAGCAGGAAGAGGGTACGATCATGTCAACCCTCCCAGCTACAGAAAAGAGGCTACAAGAAATAAGGGAACACTCAAGAACAGGATGAAAAACTGAGCCTAGTGAAAAAGTACTGTACTGAGGGCTGGCCAGACAGATCCACAATAGACAGAGCCTACCTAATGTATAAAATGCTCTGACATTTATTTTACCAAAGCATTCAAGTTGGCATTAAAGGAGCTGGATGTAAGAAATTTATTTCAAATAATAATAAAATGGCTTGATATGTCACTAGACATTAAGAAATCATGTTCATTTCAAAAACTTATATCACCGACAACAGCAGTCCAGCCAGGATATTGTCATTTAAAAAGTGAAGTTGCAGCCCTCAACTGTCATGTTGTGTTTTGGTCTGATGCTCCACCCTCCACCGATCTACCAATCACCAAGTCAGTAGTGTTGCAGCATTCGGGTTGCCAGCTCTGCTCTAGTTACCACAGCTGCAGCTACAAACGTGGGATAAAAAAATCTGGCAACCTCGAGTCAGGGGGAGGGGGAGGGTATACACCACTCTACAGTAATTTGAAACTGATTGCAGTACCAGTTTTGGCCACAATCTTACATACAGCTCCTTTAAAGGGTTAGTTCACCCAAAAATGAAAATTCTGTCAGTATTTACTCACCCTCATGTTGTTCCAACCCCGTAAGACCTTCGTTCATCTTCGGAACACAAATTAAGATATTTAAGATATTAAGATCGCTCCTGCATACAGTCCATAGGCTTCTTGAGGGACTGGCTCTTGCTGTCCCCGAAAAGTCATTAAAGACATCGTTAAAATAGTCCAAGTGACTACAGGGGCTCAATCTTAAGTTTATCAAACGACGAGAACACTTTTGTGCGCAAAAAAACAACAAAAATAACGACTTTATTTCAACTATTCGTTTATTTCTCCCTCTGTGCGAGTCAGGTTACTAGTTTAATAGCGTAAGCTTCTGTTATTGTACGTCACACGCATCACATACACATGACCAGCGTCGGCCAATAGTGAGCCCTACGTGTGACGTAGCTCTACGCAATCACACTACGTTAACTGACTTACAGGCTCATGGAGAAGGAAGTGAATAGTTGAAATGAAGTCGTTATTTTTGTTGTTTTTTTTGCGCACAAAAGTGTTCTCGTCGTTTGATAAACTTAAGATTGAGCCCCTGTAGTCACTTGGACTATTTTAACGATGTCTTTAATGACTTTTCGGGGACAGCAAGAGTCATTCCCTCAAGAAGCCTATGGATTGTATGCAGGAGCGATCTTAATATCTTAAATATCTTAATTTGTGTTCCGAAGATGAACGAAGGTCTTACGGGTTTGGAACAACATGAGGGTGAGTAAATACTGACAGAATTTTCATTTTTGGGTGAACTAACCCTTTAAGACTGCAACTGTGTGTTGAACTTTTGATTTCTTGATGGGAGTGGGGCACACTAGTGTTGCAAAAAATGTGATTACTTCATGTTGTGCACGCGCTCTCAATTGCCCAAGACCGCAGTGTGGGTTTTTGGACAGGGCATCAGAATGCACACACAGTAACTTGCACTTCCTCTGCAATGATTCAGTCATAAAACATGTGCTTATGAAAATTGCAGACAAGAAAAAAACATGATCAAAAATTAGGAAGAGTTGGATTAGGCACGGGTATATACTGGAAAGTAGGTGTGAATGGAAAAGGTAGATGATTGCATTTTTTTGAACAAGGACAGGTCTGGTGAGGAAATAATATGGACATTACAGGAAAATAAACTCTGAAGATGGCAGTAGTGCAGTGCCTCTGGATTCAAGCTGCCGTTAAATCCCAAAGGAGAATTATAATATGATTTCTCACACACCAGCTAGCTGTCTTGCATTGCACTTTGTGCTAGTAGCCTATAATATTGCATTTATGGTAACTTTACTGTCTTCACTAGGCTGTCTGACTTTGAGAGGGGTTTTGTGTTTATTTACCTTTTCTGTTTATTTTTTTTAATAAATTTATGAGGTAAGTAACTTGACGCAGCACTTTCCAATACATCCGCTTTTAAAGATGCACGTGCAAATCTGGCTGATCCTTGACGTGATCGCGGGCAGCAGTGCAAAGTTGATTCTGTGCTGTGCTATGATCTAATATTTGATTTTTATTTTTTTAATTGTTGTAGATTTAAGTTTTGTTCAAAATATTTAAAGCAAGAGTTTTCCAATAACGGAAGAATATGTAAAAAAAAAAATATATATTTGGGGTAAAAAGCGCATCTTGTCGGGGCAAAAGGCACAAACATGATAATAAATCTGTTTGATGACAGTATTTATTGAATAAAATTGAATTGTTTTATTTTTAAAAATAAACAGAAAATAGTATAAAAATTGGGTGAAGTGATTATTTTGAACAAGTTTTAACTTAAATACAAATACATTAAACCATAGTATTTTAGCCAAAGTATCTATCTATCTATCTATCTATCTATCTATCTATCTATCTATCTATCTATCTATCTATCTATCTATCTATCTATCTATCTATCTATCTATCTATCTATCTATCTATCTATCTATCTATCTATCTATCTATCTATCTATCTATCTATCTTATCTATCTATCTGTCTATCTATCTATCTATCTATCTGTCTGTCTGTCTGTCTGTCTGTGTCTGTTTATTTTGACATGCAGTTGTAATGTCTGTCGACAGATGGCGCAAGGATGCTGTATAAGAATTCAGTGATCAAAATCTCACTCAGACATGGTATGTTCAATTACTATTTATGGCATGGCATGTTTGTAATGTTTGCTAAATTGGCAAATGGCCTGCCATTGTAATGAAATAGGAATCGCAATCTTATCAATCAACCAATAAAGTTTGAAAATATACGGAGTTTGCTGACACCACAATCACCACCATTTTTGAATATGGAGGAATTCACAACTGAACAGCAACAGCTACATCAGTACTGTATTTGCATTTGTATTTTTACAGTACATTTATTTTGTAGAAATGTGTAACATGTCATCTTGTCATGGAAGAGCAATAGGAAGATGTGTAAGAAGATATGCATGTGTTAGAGAAAGACATGAGTGTGTAAAAATGAACAAGCAGTAATTATGTGTGTAAAATATAACACATTTCTGCAAAAATAAATGTACTGTATAATATATTTGCTTTTTGTGTACAGTCTTGACTATGCAGTACATTTTTACCTGTCTGACAAGACAAATATGCCAAAGCGATAGATAAATTCTGTAGTTAGATTACAGTTAGATTTTACAGTAACAATCAAGCGTTTTTTAGATGTTTTGACAAAAGACATTGTTCATCAACATGATAAACCCATATTCTTACCTCTAAAATGTGATTTATTTCATGTTCTTCTAAAAATATATGTTTTCACATTTAAATAACAAACAGCCATTTTGATGTCATGCAGAGCCTATAAAAGTGATATATAAAGATCTCTCAAGCTAAATTAGTTTTGATCAGAGGCATAACCTAAATAAAATAGCCTATGGGTCTAAAGATCACTGATATGGTGCTCTAATTACTGGAAGGAATGTTTAGGTGGAGATAGACAGTTTGTGTTCATTAAAGCAGTCAGGAAATGGCTCACAGAGCCTCAGCAAACTTTAATTGCCCTTTAAAATGAGATGATACACACAAACACAACCTCCTGACATAGTACTGTACCATAAATAATAGTCTGGTATGGT